TATATTTTTTTTTTGTTATTTCAATAAGAATTAAGATTGTTTTTAAGAACTTTTTATTTAACTAGTTATACGGTATTTGAGTCATATTATTGGCATATTCTCAATTTCCTTCAACCAAAATCGGAAGTGAGGGAACTAAAGGCAACAATGAAACCTCATTATTTGAAAAACTTCAACTCGAGTTATTATAGACAAATACAGTGACTAAAAAGGTGATTTTTTCTAATATTCGCAATATTTTTCGAGTAAAATTTTTTTATTGCTTTAACTAAATCCATAAAAATCGACGATTCAAACTATATACAACATATAGAAAAATTCCAAAAATTTTCGTCTAAATTTCGAATTTTTTACTCTGAATTTTTAGAACAATTTAAGGTAGGGAGTTTTAAAGCAACTACTATTTGATTATAGCCAACAATGTGCTGCTTAAAATTCCCGTTGATTTTTTTTATTTTTTTCCATTGATAAAAAATGGCTTTGATTTATTTTTTTTTTGCGAACAATCATAGTGCGTAATTACATACTTGTTAATTTTTTCTTTATATTTAAATAATCATTTAAAATATTTAGGCAATCAAAAGCTCCTCGGGATTCCAGTAAAATTAGTTTTGAATGGAGCGCGATATGTTCGCCTTATATCGATATACATTTATACGTATGTAATTATATAAAAAGTATGCAAAGAAATTTATAATATATTTAGAGATAACTACGAAAAATAAATCGGGAACGGAAAGTTCATCAAAAATCTACCAAAATGAGAAAAAATTTACCTTTTTACCAACCCAAATTTTTTCTACCAATTTTGGTAACAATTTACCAAAGTGGCAACCCTGGTGTTGACGCTTTATGCTTGAGTGTCGCCGGGCAAGCTTCAAGCACCCGACATTCAACCCGACACTCACACATGTACTCGTTGCTGGGGTAACCAACAACGGATGCTTGAAATCGCCGACGAGCTTAACGCTGTGAATAAGAGTTGTGTGGAGATTTTCTCTAACATCTGCAGCGCAATACAACATGAGATGCCAGCAGTAAGAGAAATATTTCGAGCGCCGGCTACGAAACAAAGCAGCGACAATGCATCTTCACCTATTGTTGTTAAGCTGCAGTCCTCTTATGCGCGCATTAGACTCTTCAAATCAGTAGCTGGTTTACTGCAAAGCAAACAAAAGAGCTCTTGCATTAAATGACATTGCTGTGGAAGGTACATCAAGCATCCACATACATGAAAGCCTTTCGAGAGCGAACCGTGAGATTATGCACTATGCCGCCCAACTCAGACGTCAAAAACATCTCTCAGCTGCTTTTTCAATACGCGGTCAGGTGCTTGTACGAAAAAGGGATGGCGATGCGGCGATTCGAGTGTACGACAAGAAAGGTATTGATGAAATTGTCGGCACAACTTAAAGCAGTCAGTTTCATGTTTTGTTTGTCAAATCAATTATGCCCTGCAATAAATTGTTTGTATGTAATGTTAGTTTTAAGTTTTACCAAGTTTCTCTTTTCTCCCTTCTTGTTCCTTTCACTTTCAATTCTTTCACTTCTATTTGCTTTTCATACACACATATGTATATATTTGTTCTTTTGTTTTTTTGTGTTTACATAGTTGTTTCTTATTCAGTTCAGTGCAAAGTAATTAATTTAACATGACTGTTACACAAGCATCTGGCGCTGATGGAAACCATAAGCTTATGTTAGATATTTTGTGTAAACAGTCGACTGGTCTTAACATAGTTCATTTTAATGCACGGAGCCTGAGTTCTGATAAAATGGACTATGTTAGATACATATTTGAGCAGTCTTTAGTAGACATTATCTGTGTTTCTGAAACATGGTTTAGTGATCTTATTTCTGACCTTCATTGCTGCATCAACAATTATAATGTGATTCGGAACGATCGTAAGCACAAAAAAGGGGGCGGTGTGGCCATATACTGCAAGAAATCTCTTAAAATCAAGCTTCTTGCAAAGTCTGCAGGTTCTGATACAGAATTTATAATTTCAGAGGTTTCCGACGGTATAACCAAAGTTTTAATTTCTTGTGTGTATAATCCACACAAATGTTTCCTGTTAGATTGTTTCTTCGCTGAATTGTCTGTATTTTTAATAGATTATGAATGTTGTGTTATCTGTGGTGATTTTAATGTTAATTTACTTGTCAATGACTCTAGTAGTATCAAACTGCGTGATCAAATCTCAGCATCTGCGCTATTCGTTGTTAATGAATTAGCGCCTACTAGATATGCAAACAACTCTAGGCCTAGCCTTTTAGATTATTTTGTTATCTCTGACCTGACCTATATTCTTAAATTTTAATTAATTAATTAATTAATCCCAACGGCTTTTTACCCTCCATTCCCGCCCAACCGACACGAGGGGCGCAGTCCGCATGACGTACGGAACCTTTTTTTTTTTTTTTGTTTTTTTTTTGGTTTTTTCGTGCCGAGTAGTGGAAACAGGAGTTTGTTAGGTGTCGAGATCTAAAACTATTCAGCTACAGAATCAAATTCATCAGCTGATTGGATATGCTAAAGATAGTATTTCAATTATTGAGAGTGGAAATAATAGTTTTCTTTATAGTAAAAATCGAGTCCGATACGTCAAACGTGCTGGAATGACAGTTAAAATCTTGACATAAACCACGGAATGATTCGTTTAGTTCAAAATTAGTTTTGCATGGCTTTAAAAATAGAGGTCGAAAGTGTCTTGACACTCGAGAAGGAACATTAAAATTTACCTCAGCC